AGTCTTTCTCCCTCTTTAACTCCCTTCCTAAAAACCTTTAATCAAATAACCAAAAAATTGCCTGTTCCTTGCCTCTCCATTTCTATTTTGATTGCAATGAAAAGCTTCAGATGAAGCTTTTGAGATCATGTGAATGGAAGAATCACGATTTTCACTACATCTCTGATTAGAAAAACATACATTAAACGTAGACTTCTCTTTGGAGGTTGACTAACTCACAGATAGGTGAAGAGCCTTTCATCTTTGCTTTAAATTGGGTAATGATTAAAAGTGGTTACCCTCTAAGGACAGAAAATTGATTTTAGTGACTCAGCACAATACCTGATAGTAAAATAGGGTCAAGATTATAAAAGCAATGGTGCATGACTGCTAAACCTTCCAAACTTGTGTTTCAATTATGAATGCAACATAAGCCGGGGCAATGCTCTCTGCCTGAGTCTTCATGCAGTCTGAAGCAATAGCTCTGAGATAATATAAGCTACTCTTATTCATCTAAATTAATCCTACTCATCTTAGTCATAGCACATAAAACACTGGAGCCCTACACTACAAAGTAGAGTCCGTGAGGAGAAATATTCCCATTGCCACCTGGGTTAATGCATAAACTGCTTAAAATCCTCCTTGTTGACAAAGCCAGGGAATCTTGGTTCATTAAGCCTAGTGCTTAGACTACTAACCTATCTCCTTCAATTAATCCATTGTCATCAAAGAAGCATATGCCTGATTTCTGAGCCAGACATGGTGATGTTTTAATAATAAATATAAATCTATTTGCTTGTCTCCTTATGAACTAGCACATGTTGTCAGTGCTGCACATACCTCAGACAAAGAGTACAATTTATGTGGACAATAAAACAATAGAGCTTCAGTGATATCAGCTGTTTGACAATCTTTAATATACATTTGCTATAAAACAGGCAGCAATTACCAAAATGTGATACCCAAATAAAAATCCTTGATCCATTTGCACGATAGATCTTCAATTTACTCACATTTATGCTAGAGACACACATAAAAATGATATCCATGCTTAAAATCACTTAGAAGCACATTCTGAAAGACCCCACAGTTGCAAGTGATACTGTAGTACTTAGCTAATGCTCATGTTTCTACAGCTTTGCCTTCATGATTCTTCCAGTGGTTCCTTTATGTTTTCTGGTATTCTGCCAAACACCTGTGAATCAGTGTGCAACAAATATTCGTGCTGTTTAATTTAGCTTTGCACAGAAAGGCTATATTAGGCTGATGTAGATCTAATCCCAAACCTCTAAAGAGGTTTAAGGCACTCTAGTTTCACCTAATCCCGAAACCTAAACCAGAATCCTTGAAAACCTCCAGAATGCCACAGGACTGGGCAAATAAAGGTTTTCTACTATTAAATTATTAAAAGGACACAGTGTGTCTTTTGGATTTGAGACCTGAAGCTTTATCTAAGGAGCTTGGCACTGTTCACAATAAAAAGAGTGTTTATTTTGAAGATAATAGGTTGAATGGCTTATTTGACTAGATGCCTGATGGCTAAAAAGAAAAAAAGAACTGAAGCAATATTCCCCCATGAAGATTAAAACATATATATGAACAATGACAAAGTAAAATTATATGGACACCAAGACTAAATTGTAAAAGAGAAGCGTATCCAGGTGCCTGTTTTTAGGATAATTGAAATTAAGACCCTTCAATAGGAAGTGACAGAATTGGTCTCAATGCAGGACTGGTGCCTTAGTTATTTAAGTTCTTCATAATAAATATTTAATACTAATAATATAACAGGTGTGATAATATATAGATCTTTGCTCTTCAAAAATTCAAATCCAACCATTCTGGGGGCCCTCTTGACGATAAATAGCATGTGAAAACTTGTGTGATGGAACTCTAAATTACAGATTGCATTCAACTGTAATAAATTTGTGCTCACATTAACTCATGGTTAATTAATGGGATTCTTCTATTCCTTAGCTCTTGTAACCACTTTATCTTCCATGTAGCTCGTTATCTGTGTACTCTTAAAAGTACAAGAGGGTGTTTCATTTTCAAGGAGACTGCAGGGAGTATTCACTGCATCATATTCTAATAAACATTTTATTTCTGAGCAAATTAAAAAGTTAAAGATACAATGAACATGTGGCTTTAAAATACCCAGAATTTTATAGCAGCAGGCTGCAATTTTAAGTCTCTTTAATTCAGGTCACTTCAGGGAAAAATGGAAAAAAGTAATTCAAGTCCATTTGTGCAGGGTACAATACTGAGGATATTGTCTGTGCTTTAGAAATTATTAATAAGGAAAAGTACAGAATTACATCACCAGTGTAAGTGAGTTTTTATAACCATTTACTGGTAATCCTGTTCAAGGAGAGGGTGATGTAGTACTTGGACCAAGGAATCAAGATTCCTGGGCCAGATACCAGGGTGATGTGTATGATATAAGTACCCAAATGGAACAGAAAAAATGACCATCTTTATCATTTTTTACCATGTAAAGTTGGACCAGTCACTTAGATATCTTTGCCTTTGTTTGACCCTTTAAAATTGGATAGAATATCACTTATCTGCCAGCACAGCCGTGTTCTGATTTATCTCTGAAAAGCCGCCTGGGATCCTTGGATAAAAACGGCATAGAAATACAAAGCATTATTTTAAGAAACACAGTATAAAGGCAGCTCCTCAGTGGAACCTTATTGGAACTGTAACAATTTATGCCAGCTGAGAATCTACCCCTCAAACACTACAAAAATGAGGTGGTATTTTTATCTCTAGAACCTGGCAACATAAACAAATTAATCCTTGTTTTGTCACACCCTTTTTTCCTCCCAAGTGCATCTTGTGTGAATGGAAAGAAACACTGCAAGTTATAAGAGAGGGGTCTGTACTGCCTGCTTGAGCAAAGGTGCCCTTTGCCAGCTGCTAGTTCCTATAAGAATTGCTGTTCTTCACTCCAAGTGCGGCTGCTGTTCAGTGGTGCTGCAGTTTTGCACTGCAGTGTTTGACAATGAAAGTCACTTTAAAAAGATAGAGGTTTATTTGATGACACTGCTCCGTTTGGATACGAGCAACACTGAAGAGAACTCTGCTTTGCAGTTGTTGCCATGAATGGATGGAGAAAAGGTTTTTACAGATTTAAGATGTACCGCTAAATATTACTGTCAGGATTGCTGATGTATATTTTCTTTTCAACTGGCCCATACTGAGGGTGGGATTTATTTTGTTAAAAGAGCCATTTTAATAATGTCCTACACTGTTTACCAGAACTCAATTTTTATATATAAAAGATCCATGTTAATGAAAGTCTAATGTAATACCCAATTTACCAGGAGTGTTTGTTTAGCTTTGCATCTTTTCAAGTCCCTTCCTTTGGTTATTCTTTTTTAAACAGTTTTTCAGAGTGCAAGTCTGTTTTGGTGGGCATATCCTTCTGCTTGGCAGTTTCCCTTATATGGAGCTATATAGTACTTTGAATGATATGTATTACAGGTTTTCTGTGGTGCCTATCACTGTACAGTATAAGCGCTCATAATAACCTCTGAAGTTAAGCCGTGTAACATAGACACCATCTCACGCACATGAAAAGGATGTGGCTAATTCTGAGTTCCAAGTCCTGCTTGTAATCCCTTAGACCCTCTGCCTCTGTGCAACATGACTGTTTTAACATTTCCACAGATGTCACTATAGTCTCAATATTAGTGACTAATATGAACAAATCACAGCTGTGTTCAGTATTATTCTCGTACAATTCCTGACCAAGCCACACGTTTAGAAAACCACCGTGACTATGGCAGTGCCTGGGTTTAACATACATGCATCATTCACTCTATTAACATTGGAATCCACAGCACCAGATTTTAAATGCTGGTTCCTGTTTTGTACCCATAAACTAATGGTCAGATTTTCAAAAGGGATTTTGGTCATCCAGCTGGAGATCCTAACTTGGGCAAAGGGGGACACAGGGGATGCCAACTTTGCCTGTGGTGAGGGGGGGAGGTCAACTCCGAGCACCCAGATTTCTTGAGGAGTCTCAGGGCAGGCCCCCTACCCATCACTGGTGTTTCTTTAGAAAGCTGTGGTGAAGGAGGGGGGAAGCGTGAGGAGAGGGTGCACCCAGCCTCTCTGCTCTCAGGCTCCTGTACTGCAGTGAGGCTGAAGTTTGCTCCTTTTTCCAAACTAATCTTTACATGATTCAAGGTTGTTAGTAATGAATTAGACAGGCTACAGTTAAGATTTCATCCAAAACTTGTACTTACTAATAAAAACTTTAAATATTAGGTGTCAAATAAATAGGTGAGGATTACTTGGGGTAAAGGAACCAGGAACCCGGCAGCCTTGTGCAGCAGGCTGGTTCCTTGTTCCCAGTTTCTTTTTCCAAGCAAATCCCTACACAATTCAAAGTTGTTAGCAATGAATTGCACAGACTATACTTAAGATTTCATCAAAAACCTGCATTTGCTAATAAAAGGATTAAAATAATACCGTGCGTCAAGTGGCTAGATAAGGATTAGCTTGGCAGAGGAACCAGGAAGGGGGGGGAACAAGGAACTGGAGTAAGGAGCAGCATTCGAGCCAGTTCCCTGGCGGGGCCACTCACGGATCTGGACCGATTCTCGGATTTGGAATTGGTTTTGGTTAATTTGTCTTGGCATACAGAAAATTAAAAAAAAAAGTCTACGCAATTCAGAGTTGTTAGCAATGAAATGCACAGGCTACAGTTAGGATTTCATTCAAAATGTGTATTTGCTAAAAAAAAAAAAGCTAAATGGTGTCGCGAGTCAAACGGACAGGTAAAGAGGAGCGTGGAAAAAGGCACCGAGAAGCCGGTTTACAAAGGGAGAGCAGCCGGCGCGCGGACCAACCCGGTCGCTGCTGCCGCGCGGGAACCAGGCAGGTACTGCCCGGCTCTGCCCTAACGGCTCAAGCGCAAGTCCCCGGGCCGTGACGTCATGCAGCCTCTGTCACCGCCCACGTGACTGACTCCTGGCTGCCGGGACGCGATCGCAGTGCTCGGCGCTCCCCTAGCGCGGTCTTGGCCTGTCAGGAGCAGCCAGTAGACTGCCGAGCGGCCGATCCGCTTCCCGACCACCATCATCGCTCCGCCGGCGTGACCCCCCCGGACACCGGTGAGGCGAGGAGTGGCAGGGTCCCGCCCCCGCGGGCTGCTGCAGCCGCTGTTACTATGGGAACCCCGTTGCGGGGGGGAGGGGTCTGCGCATCGGCGGGCGGAGCCGTTAGAGCCGCCGGGGAGCGGGGAGGGGGCTGAGGCTGGTCCTGGCTGCTCTGGGCTCGGCTCGTGCTCCCTCTGCCGGCCGCCGCCTCCGCCGCTAGTGCCCCGACCGGGAGCCGTCGTGCGGGGACGGCTCGGCTCGGCCAGGTTGTCCCGGGAAATGTGGGGGCTTTGGTTGTGCCTGTTTTTTCCTGTAAAAGTGGCTCGTTTTATTCTTTTGTAAACGTAAGAAAGAGTGAAAGAGAGAAAGGAGAAAAAGAAAGAGAAAGAGAGAAAAAAAAGAGAAAGAGAAAGGAGAGAAAGAGAAGGAGAAAGAGAAAGGAGGGAACAAAAGAGAAAGGAGAGAAAGAGAAGGAGAAAGAGAAAGGAGGGAACAAAAGAGAAAGGAGAGAAAGAGAAGGAGAAAGAGAAAGGAGGGAACAAAAGAGAAAGGAGAGAAAGAGAAGGAGAAAGA